GGTCAGTATAAGATTATTGCAGAAAAGCACTAACAGAGCTCCAGCTTTTATAACTTTTGACAAATAATACCTAAAATACACATAAAACAASATCTAAAGATCAAGTTCTAGAAACTCAAAAAAGGCTACAAAGGCTGGGGTCATTTTTAATTCTAGTGACATGCTAATAAAATGGCCTCCAAGGAAGATTCTCTGCTCCACCTAAATAYTCTTTATCTTACAAGTCCGCACCTCAGCCATCAWTGGCACCTTAAGAACACAAGTTACTGACAAGAGAGGTGTTCAATTACAAAACAACCCTGAAACCTAAGGCAGAATAAGATAATCTGAGGATTCAAAATAAAGACTCGCTTACTATCAAAGAAATTCCTACAAGGGTCTGAGCAGGGCTGCCTTTGCATGTACTTTTGTTGAATGACCCTGAAAGAAGCTCAATTGYAGAAAACTTAAAAGCATGCATGTGTTTTGAGAAATAGCTTAAGCATAACTGTACACCAAGAAAACAGGGAGAAATGCAGTAGTAAAACCTCGGAATGGGATACTTTCCAGATTTTATTTACTTATCCATTTAAACCTCTTAACAGAGTCAGGGTGGCAAGCAAGCCAAAAATTATTCATAGCAGAGGTCAACTGATGAAGGTTTGCACATTTACAGTTATCTTGATCCATATGCTCTGACCTTCAACTATTTTTAAACTATTTCGGAAGCAACTGGAAAAAAAAAAAAAAAAAAAAAAGAATCACATCTTAAAAGGTATCTGCACTGTCACGGCCATTTCGAGGGTGCCACGTTTACTACTGCAGGTGTATTCTATAATACTGTTGTTCCGTGATGTAAGACTTACCATGATTGACCGCTAGCACTTTCCGACTGTTCATTTTCACAAAGTTTCCAAGAGGGAGTTGTGCATGAGCAATTCCTAACTCTACTGCTTTTCTGTAAGTAATTCCCTGTCAGAAAGACAGGAAAGAGGGAAAAAAAAAAAAAAGACAGAGGGAAAAAAAAAAAAAGACTGTGAATCACCATTTCAAATCAGCCTACGCAGCTTAATAGCAGTATTGTTTTCTACCAGAGTCAAGTGCATAGCCATGCTTTTGCTTTAACTTTTTTATTGAGGAAGAATATGTCTTTTTTTTTTTTTTTTTAAATAACCTAGCAATTCCTGTGCCAAAATGGAATAAAGTGTTTTAAGTAAACGCTTCATACGCTATTGACCATCTAAAACATCTGCTTTTACTCCCTTCCAGCCTTCAACTGTGGACTAACAGTTGCAGTAACATTTGGTAAGGCCTAAGAATTCATCCCTTTTAATTTAACACACCTTGAAACATTACAGTAGGTTACTAGAGCTAATGCAGGAGTGTCTTTAGAGGCCAGCAGTGACAGTGCTYTAATTTCCCAGGAGCATTCTCTATAGCACTCCCAAGCCCACACAGCATGATCCCACATCCAGGTATGGAACCAGATCCCTGAGGTCTGYGTGTCACTTAGCCAAGTCCTCCTGAGGGGCAAACTTGTTAAAGACMCTCAAGACTCAAGTACTGTTCTTCTGTATTTGGGCACAGACAAGCATAGATGCAGCTGCATGCTCAGAAACCAAAGCCTTCTGTCTGAAAATATGACACTTGGTAAGCCGAGCACTGTAACTAATTCCATTCCAAGATTTAAATGAAAAGACAACACGCTGAAAAGCCTCAGCACGTCTACACTGGAACATAAGTCATTGCTACCACTACAAACTTACGTATTTCTTCAGAATTTTTTCAATTAAGACTTCTTGTTTGAAAGGGATTTTGTTGTTTTTCTAAGTTTACACACGTACAACACTAACATCAAACAAGACAGTCCCCACGCTCCCTCCTTGTCCCACCCCCAGTCTCCTTTTACCTTGTGATGATTGTGATCCACCAGGCCTCCTATCACATAGGCTTTCTTCTCATCAAGCTCACTAAGCACGTCTGGGGAATCTGAGGTGAGATACACTAGGTCTTCTTTCTTTATTAGCTCACTGTAGTGCTCTGTTCGAATTTGGATATCCTCCAAAACACAAGGTAGTTAAAAGAAGTTACACTCAACAAAGTAATTGTTGGGCAAACCTCATGTTTTACAGACCCAAAATGGAACCAGCAAATATAAGGCTAAGAATATGCGGTTCATTCTATGTCCCTCATTCTATTTTTTCCCCCTCCATAGCATAGTTTTCTACATAAACAGCYCACAGTTTCACAAAAGATCTCCAAAGATACATCAGGAAACTTTCTGAAAGCCCAGAAAAGCTGCAGAAAAGCTTTAATTCTCGTGATGCTTCTCAGAAATTACCAAATGTTCCCTAGTGATCCCYGCCATTTTCGAGTCCCCTTTCTAAGAGGAAACTCCAAGTATCTGCTTACTTAACATTACTTGTTGGAGAGGCTGGTGCTGTACTTCTGAAAAACGGTCATCACACAAGACCTGCTACAATGAAGTGTTGAGTGGCAAGCCAATGGAARTAAAAAGCACAAGAGAACAGGACTTCAGAGTAGTACTTTTTCCAAGAGAAGGGCAGAACTGCCTTGCCTAGGCTATCACACAATGGTAGCTACTGAATAAAAGCAGATATGCAGAGCTGTTAATCTAAAAAATCAAACAGATTCAAGTAGTCTTTAGCATAGTCAAACAAAGAGATTCAGAGCATAAAGWGTCACGCTTCTTTCTAACACACTATTGTTCTGATGTCTTGGGGGGAAAACAAATTTAAGAAACATAGGTCCTTCACAAACAAGCTGGTTAACAACCTGCCCTCCCCTTTATACCAAAACAGTGCCCATCATTCACCTTCCAGTTCACCCATCCTTTGTCATTTTCATTCATGTTGTTCTTCAACTGTCCCCCATGACTCGTCAAGTAAAACTTGAAGAAGAAACAAACAGAAAGCACATAATATTGAAATGTTAATATGACAGTTCTCCTCCTCCCTGTGAAAGTCTTTCTACCCCCTTAGCTGATAGCAAAAACTCTTAAGTTATCATTTGTCTCACAGAAATCATACACAGACCATATTTACATACTTAGCAACACATTTAAGAGACAAGCATGCACATATGTAGTCTCTCTTTTGTTGCTGTATGGGTCATAGATAAAATTCAGCATCAAAGTATTTTAGTAGCACGACTGCATATGATGTTCTTCATTTGCATGTATGTATTTTCTCATAGGCATATCCATTTGCATGATCCATGGATTAAAAATCRATCTATCAGAAACAGGATTTAATGTGGAGTTTTAAAATACATTGTTTTGCCTGCCTCCCACAGTTGTCACCAGTTTGGGTCACCGCTGCCCTTCCCATCTGCTTGGCACATGAGCCATGGTTCATTTGACACCAGTTTGTGTGAGCCTACCTGCACAGGATGGAACGCTTTGCGGTTCTCTGCGTAACACCTCTGAATTTGCTTGTGAAGCTTCTTAACATCCTGTATACAACACAATGTGTTTTTACATAGTCCTTCAGACAGACCACCTTAAAATGCTTTACCATGAGTCAGTCAGAAGCTGAAGAGAAAAAAAGGAAGCTTTTAACTGGCAAAAGTGACTAAGCAGAGACAGAAAACGCACCTGTGTCAGTCTCAAAGGAAAAAGCCACTGTGAGGGGATAACACTAACACGGATACAGGCACATCTGCCGCCAAAAATAATAAATAAAAAACCACACGAAGTATTTAGGCACTCTTCTGTATGTACTTGATTTGCATTGATTTGTATTATTCTAGAATCATGAAACAAAAAAACAAAYTATACATAATAACATACTCAAAATTAATCTGAGGAATTCAGCAGATTTTTCACTCTGCAATTGCCCTCAAGTCTTTCATTCAAMATAAAGCCTGGAGACTGTACAGTATGTAGTTAAGAAAATTAAAAAAGCACAACTAACCTAWGAACAATCACACACACTGTAAGTAATTTCATGTCTAGTTTCCAGCACTTTGACCTGAAAATCTGAACAGGTAACTAGCACCATATAAAATGCAACAAATAGAATTGTTAGTCAGAATCCTTGACGTAAGGTACCTTAAACATCCTTGGTCTCAGTATTCCACAGAGAAGGTCTTGTTATAACTCATTCCCATTTTAAAGCAAAATGAGACATTTTGTTTTCACAAAGGCTGCAGCTTAGCAGGAAGTGCCCAGGCAGCATCTACAAAACATACCGAAGGGCTGCTCTGACCTTTTCTGTGGCAGGGCTGAGGAGCCTCCCAAAAATTATGGTCAGCAACCCTCAGCAAAATATGTGTAGCAAAATACGCTAAAATTATGCTACACAAAATATGTGTAGCATATTTTGCGTTACACTCAGCAGCCAGCTAMGATGGGCTTTGCAAAGCTGGTCCAAAAGAGGTTCTCTCTCCAACCACATATCAATTCAATGCATCCAATGGATAATTTCTTTTACCTTTAGCACCATCAAGTCATCAAAGCTGCAGTCCACGATGAGGCGAAGTGGACTAGGAAGCACCTCCTTGCGCATACGCTTTCTGTCATTCCCTTCATTACYGGGGTCCAGTTTTGACTGACGCTCCAGCTTTCTCTTCTGACGTTTTTCTTTTCGTTTCTGCCTGATAAAAAATATAAATATATAAATATAAGCTGAGTAAACAGGTCAAAATACACTTCTATGCTCAAAATGGCTCTCCCAAGATCAAGATAGCTTATACTTTTCTCTGCTGCTTGAATTCATGCTAGGCTAACTCCAGGACAAAACAGGTAGCTCATTTATTTGCCAAATACTAGACACACCTACAGAGCCCAAAAATCCAAGTGGKGTCAATGGAATGTGTCTCATGGATTTAGGMGTGCTCTGAATCAACTCATGTATCAGGAACAACCAACTCTGCTAACAGGCACTCGCCTGGGAGGGAGTATTTTCTGTTAGGATAAGCCAGGATTATCCATTTGCAGATACCCTTTTTCCTCAACMACAATACAAATATGGAAATCCACCACCTGCCACAAAACAACTTAGTCAAGCACAGCTCAGCCTTATCACTTATGGCACAAGATTCTATCATRTCAGAAGAACATTTTTATTCAGATTTCAATGAATTCATCAAATCTGACAGCAACAGGGGAACAGTACGTAGCCAATTCAGAAAGGAACTACGCCATGTTATTTCTCCCTCTGCAAATATATCAGAAACACATGAGCAAGGTGGACTCCTTCCTGGTATCCTCTTTGAGGGGAAGCACATTTCTAGAGAAGAGGATCTTACCTTTGCAGCTTCTTGATGCCCAGATGGAGCAGCTTGTGGCTATTACTTTAAACCAGCTATGGGAGAAAACTAGCACAACTGCCTTGGCTTGCTAAAGGAATCTGCATGCAAATTCTGCTCACACAGAACATTACTATTACTGGCATCACATGGCATACAAGATCCTAGGAAAACCATATTTCAAACCACACCTGCGTAGATCTTTCTGCTCTTCCCACTGTTGCTGTTTCAACAGCTTCTTCCTTTGCCTCTTGGACATGGTTTCAAGACTCTGTGCCTCGGCCGAGACTGCCTCCTGGCTCTCTACTGGACCACCATCGGGTTTCTCCTTTCCTTCTGCATCAGGAACCTCTGTGGGCGCCACATTTTCTCTTGGTTCCTCTGGACTCTCTGCTGGCATTTCTCAAGACAGGAGCTTTTGGGYAGCTTTACTGACTTGTTTCTCAGYGCGTGGTAAATATTTCATAAAAGAGCAAGCCTTTTYCCCATAAGTTCTGCAAGAAATAAAGCAGTACTTATTAGAAGGTTTTTCCAAGAAGTTYAATCACAGTAAGTATCWCTCCACAGCTACCACAAATCTGAACAAGAGTTGTAAACACAAGAAGGMCTTTTATTTATTTATTGCGCATTAAGTTTTGTTAACATCTCCAAAACGTATTTTTTTTCAAGAATACATTAAAAAAAAATATCAACAAGATGCCTAAAATTCAGCCTGCTATTCATCTCTAACTAGTCAACAATTTTTAATTAAAAAAACTCTAATTAAAAAAACACATAATATTCCAAATAGAAACATGATGAAAGCCTGCGGGAGTTTTTGGAGCTCTTAGGGGGAGCTCAAAATGATCCAAAAATGGTGCAGAAGGGAAATTTGACATTACATCTGATACAGTGACTTTCAAATAATGAGCCTTATCACTGGGAATCTAAGCTATTTACTGCAGGCTTCCCAAAGCTGGCATTCTCAGAACAGGAACTTTACCATATACAGAATAGCAAATTGGAGTTGGTTCYTCAAGCTTTCCTATAACTTTGCTATTTAAAATCATCATCTGGGTTTTCCTCCCAACTCCCACATCACTACATAGTAAGTTCACACAAATGAATTAAAAAAAACCTTAATGGATTAAATAGAAAACAGAGGACTACTCTGCACACACAAGATATTCTCAGGTACATCAAGAATGAGAAAAAAAAACAATGCAACTTGTGAAGCAACTAAAACTGGGCTAGAGAGCTATGATTTAAAAAGACCAAAACCATTTCAGCAGCATACAACGTGTGGACAAGCTCTACCTTCCCAAAATTCATTCTTATTGCTTTTACTTGAAATGACTGTCTACTGATGATGCAGCTTTGCTTATCAGTAGGCAAAGAGCCTGCACTGCACAAACACAGCAAGCTGCAGGGTAAAGACACCAAATTGTTACTCAGCAAAAATGTTCTCTGCCCAAATTCATTACAACTACCCTCTCTCTCTCTCTCTCAAAGAGGACTAGTATTTGTCCCCCATTCCTCAACAAAGATTAATAACCTCCTAAAGTTACCTCCCTCGGGAACAAAGCTAATGCACATTTCCACTTGACCTCTTCCCTCCACCTCCCCACCATCTCCCCCACCAAAGGAAAAAAATAAATAAAAAAACCCCTCTTGCTTTTTCGCTAACATGACAGCCATACATCTACTTAAACGTAAATCAAGAACTCCAAGGAATTAACACGTCCTTTCCCGGCTCTGTGCCCTACCACCCACGGCTCTCCGAAGCCGCCCTCCTCGCACGTGCCACAAGGCAGAGCCCCGCGCGGGCGGGCGCCTCCGCAAGCAGGCGAGCGCCCTGCACAAACRGCTGCCTGCTTTCACACTGCCTCGGCACACACACACGCACACATTAAACTGAACGCATACACGCGCGCGTTGAGTCGACACGGACACACACGCGAGGACCAGCACGCACCTCTGCCGCCCGCCCCCCAACCACGGCGCGGCCCAGGCGGGCCGGGACACCGCCGCGCAGGCGGCAGCAGAGCGCTCCCCACGCCGCCCGCAGGCGGCCACGCTCCCCTCCCTCTCCGTCCSAGGAAACCAAACCCCGCGACACGTACCGGCCTCTCCTCCGGCTGACCCAGCYACGGCRGCCGCACCAACGGACGCGCCGCRACCGTTAACGGACGGCGASGACCCGCAGGGGGCGGGGCGGGGCTCGCGCACGCGCRCCTCGCGCCGCCGCCCACGCCTTCCAGTCCCAGCGAGCCGCGCGCGGCCGTTAACCCCAACGGTCGCGGGGGGGGGGAAGGCAGCGGGCGGCTCCTAAACGGCATTTTAACGGCTGCACCCGCCTGCCTCGTGCGGGCCTAGGAATAAAACGAAGGCTTAAAGGTCTCGCGGCTTTCCACGGGATGGCTGAGGTTGGAAGGGGCCTCTAGGGATCRTCCAGCCCAACCCCCTGCTCCAGCAGGGACACCCAGAGCACGGGGCACAGGGYGGCATCCAGGCGGGTTTGGAAGATCTCCAGAGAAGGAGACTYCACAGCCTCCCTGGGCAGCCTGGGCCTGTCTGTCACCCTCACAGAAAAGTAGTTCTTCCTCACATGGAGATGGAAATTCCTGTGTTTCCACTTGTACCCACTGCCCCTTGTCCTGTCACCGGCCACCACAGACAAGAGTTTGACCCCCTTCTCCCTATATTCACCCCTCAGGTACTTATACATAGTGATCAGATCCCCTCTCCATCTTCTCCAGGCTAAACAAGCCCAGCTCGCTAAGCCTTTCCTCAGGAGAGATGTTCCAGTCCCTTCTTTGGCGCTCTAGGCTGGACCCTCTCTGGAAGTTCCACATCCCTCTTGCACTGGGGAGCCCAGAACTGCACCCAAAGCTCCTTTGCCTTGCTATTCTTTAGGAGTGCAAGAAGAAGGTACAGCAGTTGCTGTGTGCTATGTCACCTCTCTTTTGTAAACATCTTACCAGTTGGAAAACAAACAAACAAACAACCATACCAAATACACTTCAAGATCAGCTGTCATATGTGTGTGTGTGTGTATACATATATACATACATATATATGTATACATATATATACATATACACACACACACACACACTTTTTTTTCTTTTTGCACCACTGCTTGCCATACGCACTGTCTGTCCAGGGAAAAGGCTGCAGGCTCTGAGGAGAAGCTAATGACCCTGATGAGACTAACAGTAATAACAACTGTGCTCCCTCTCTTGGGGCTGAGGTGGCTCCACAGGATTAAGAGGAGCAAAAAGTAAGAAAACCTTATTTTTATCCAATGGTTTTGATGACATTACCGAGTTCATGCAGAGGTCAAAGGAGTATTTTTAAATAGTCACATTCCATGGGGCAGAATTTGAGTTCCACCRAACCACAAGCAATTCCACATTCATTTTGCYCCTTAAAAARGAGCCTCCGCATTTCAGTTTTAAAAGGCCACCATCAATCAGTTCTTCAAAACTTAGTGCTAATACCCAGCTAACAACRATGTTCTTTTTCCCCTTTGGTCAACTTAGGGAAAGAATTCTGCAYAARCCTTTATTTTGGAGACCAGGATTATAACATATGAGAAAAATTTATTTGGGGCAACCTAAATACAAAGATAATCTCTTCACCTCTAGTTAATGAGGCTCATGATATTAGTAAATGTATCAGTGTATGCTACCATAAAATCCTTTTCATGTGCATCRTTTATCTCAAGTTTCATTGGTTCCAGATATACACAGTCTTTCACTTTTAGTGCTGGTTTCAGATTTACGACTGCTATATTAAATTCATAAAACTTTATGGGGGGGTCTCCAGATTAAGACACTGACCTTTCACTGCTCTTAACATTTAATATTTGGTTTAATACGTGATTTCATCTCTGATTCTTGTTTCCTTTGCTCCTTTAAAAATAACTGGATTTGCATTTGCTATCATCTATTTAAAACCTCACTCATGTTACTTTTAGTATCTAGATTTACATACCAGAATGACCAAGTCCACATGCATTACTTTGCCCATAAAGGATCTTCTTTTTCATTTGGTCATTAAAAGACTGCAGACTAGTTACTGATAGAAGCCCAGATAGAAGTTTGCTTTCTCTTAAAATTCACAGTTAGTGATGTGCTGTGATCAGCTGCTCAGAGCTTTTGATTTACAATTTTTTTTCCCTCATTTTGCACTTTCCCAAGTGGCAACGTTGCTAATCCAGACCCTTACATCCTCAAGCTGCAATACAGAGCAATGCAATGTTTTCTGTGCTGAAGTCTGCCAAAGTGCCAAGTGATGACAAGGCAAAATGAAGACAGTTGGAATCACTTGGGAAGAACTGTCTAATAGGATGTAATTAATTGATATAACCATAATATGACATTTCAAGATGCTCATTAGAGTAATGAGTTTCCCAGAATGCTTTAAAATATTTGCAAAAACAGCATTGCAGGGCAAGTGGCAGAACAGGCAGAGAGGAAAAAGAGAGCTGGGGAATTTGGGCACAAGCTGAAGGGAAAAGATGGACATGGGTACTTTGGTGCATATAGCTGAAAGTCTATGCTGAAAGGCTAAAGCTTCCCTCTGTTTTTTGTGAAGTGGGGACAAAAGCATTACATTAACCTCAAAGGATGTGGGGAAATCTCATTAGTTTTATTAGGTCACATAAAGATATGAGCTTTATTGTTTGGACTCTGGAAACTGTGCAGCAACAGCAATACTTTGACCCTGGAACATATGCCAGCATGGCGTGAGCTGTACATTAAGGTCTGATCTTGCAGCCTGAGTGTTATGGACTTTGGTGGGTGCAAAACTCTTCCACTGGTTAACAGTGACTTCAAGGATGTTACTCCTGATTTTCTCCCAACATAACTGAGATGAGGTTCAGGACCTCATTTTTTAATTTAGTTTTAGGAGTAGACTTAGGAGTAAATATTTCCCTGAAAATACCAAGTGGTCATGAGCTATATGTACATGCATATATCTACACATACATATATATCCATGTGAAAAAGTATGTGCTTTATATTTCTCTACAAATTTGTGGTAGCTATACCCTTACATGCAATTCCTTCAGTGTCCACAGGAATATAACAGCTCAGGATCTGGCATCTAATATTCTAGAGTCCAMGAAGCATTTGTAAACTTAATCTGAGAGAAGAAACACATTTCCTGAGCRTGTCCCAGATTTCAAACCAACCTCAAGTCCTAGCTGCTGGCAGAAATGTCCCATTCCTAGCAATTCAATGCTGAGACAGCACTGGCTTCTTCGGCATAACTGTAGCTAGCAGGCAGCCAAGCATCCTAGAGCTGTGAGAATACAAGTTGTGCTCCAGCTCATTGTGGGGAAATTGCTCTGTGACTGGSAGTAATTTATACAATACATTTTGCAAAAGGGTGGAGAAACACTCTCTTCTTACCTCTTGGAGTGGAGAGAAAGAGTTTGGTAACGGCTCAGAGGTATCTACCTCTGTGTATAAATAGGAAGGAACCCTTCTGCCCTGGTGACCCCTGCACGCCTTTGACACGCTGGATACACCAGGCAACACGTGGTGGTCCGTGCCCTGCCGCACCAGGCAGGATCGGTGGGACAAGGGTTCACTCGGAGCCCTCTGGCGGGAAGCCCCGCACTGTTGTGGTGTGAGACTSGCTCTCGGGGGAAACGAGGAAGAACATGGGTTATTCTGAAGGGGCCTATTGGGGGAGGCAGTGCAGCGAACTTGAGAAATGAGAAAAATATGGGTAAAAAGGAGAGAAACAATCTGGGGATGCCTTCCCAAACACTGCAGTTACAGGCTGTTCCTAGTCCTACCAAAGCAATTACTCTTCAGTAGAGTGGGAGGGCAGGGTGGGTGGGTTTAACTCACCTTTTCCAACTTTAACCTCTAACTAGGTAACACAGGGGCTGCAAAAGAATTTTCTTGAAAAAATACAATATAGCTGTAACTGACACTGTGCCTGAGTCTTTGTAATACAGCATCATCAATATTTTTAAGGCACTGCTAAACAACAGTGCACTGCTTCTAGAGAGACCCTTAAAAACTACCTGTTTCTAGGATTACTGAGAGCATTAGTATAAGTTAGCAAAGAGCAGGGGGCAGGATCTGCCCACACGCAGGCCCAACAGACCCAAACTAACTTTCCTTAGAACGACAGCCCAGGGGAAAGAGCTCCTGGTGACTGTGCCAGGATCCCCCTGCTCAGAAGCTCTGGCTACATTGGTTTAGTATTCAAAACTGAAAGCTGAGGTGAACGCTAAGAGGGGTAAAACCCACCAGCCACTTCAGTTCTTAATGATTAACTGGAAGTCCTTCAATGAACTTAGTACCTGGGGGTGGAATTTGGAGTCTGACCTTTACTACGTCTAGATAAACACGGGGGCAGGTTGGGCGGCTCTCTCTGCAAGCTCCCCTCCGGCCCGAGCGGTTCGCTCCTCCGAGGCGCTAACGTTTAATGCTGCAGTCAGAGGCGCGGGCGAGCTGAGCATGATTCTTCTCACCGTGTTTTTCCTTTGCATCATTTCCACATACTCGGCCTCTGTTAAAGGTAGGTCCATGCCGGGCTGCATTCATCATTTGCCCAAGGACTCGGTGCAGGCATAGCCGGTCTGTGCCTACTGATGTGTATTTTGCCTCAGAAATGAACATTRTTACTCAGGGACTCTTCAGGGATGCAAAATGCATTTAGCAATTACAGCAGTCTAAGCGCTTGCCCTGTACTTGCCAGCACAGGGAATGTGAGATGGTATTTTCAGGTACTCAGAGCAGTGATCCGAGCCAGGAATCTGGGCATCTTGACTTGCTGAGGCAGGGCCAGCCGAGGGGCAGTGCCTGGAAAGTCACTCTCCGCGCGCTCCGAAGCGGGCCCCCACGAAGGGCTCCATGGATGAGAGCCAGGTGTGCGCAGGGCTCCGCGCCGTTGACTCAGCTACCGCTCCAGGCCACAACAAGCATCCCACTAACTTCACAGGGAGCTCGGCCCGCAGGAGGGCATGAAAACCTGGGTGTCTACACAGGCTCGTGGAGCAAGGGCTTCTCTCAGGTGTCCTGCACAAGGGTCAAGGGCACAAACGAGGGGGCTGCCCACCACGTTTCTGTGGTGCCAGCACATGAAGCAAAGAAAGGTCTCTCTTGGCAGTGGTGCTTTGTGTGAGATCTGGCATTAAGTTTACAGGACTTTTAGGACAACCCAATAGGTGTGTAATCCACAAGTCCTCCAGGACCCTCACTGCAACAGCAGTCGTGCTCTGACAGTAGCAGCCAGGTAACACCAGCGAATGAAAACGCCCTCATCAGGAGGAAAGGGCAGCAGAGAAGCAGTGAGTCCTGGGCTAAGCTGCCAGAAAGGCTGCAGAGGTGCTTCCATGGGTGCCTCTTCCTGCAGGACATATGGGACACACTGTGCATCTGTGTAAGCAGAGGGCAGCAGCCCTCCTCCCTAGGCCCCTGCCCCGATGGCAGGGGTTAGGAAGCACCGTGTCTGGCAGGCAGTTCCTCTGCCAGTGAGAGTATTTCTCCATGTTGCCAAGTAGCATTTATGGCTAGAGTGCAGCAGGCCAAATGTCTGGTCTCTGCTCTCCATAATATTATTAAGCAAAGCTCCTTTTTGATGTGAAGGAATATTTGGCACTTTACATCCCTGGATGGACTGTGCAAACATTTTCTGATCAATCAGCTTGCAATCAGCTTTGCAAGGTCTCATTTGCGTGTGCAGAGGGGGAAAATTGAGACTGAGAGCAAAGTAACTGGCCCTTGGCCAATTAGTGCCTCAATGACAGACCTAGGATTAGAGTCCTGCCTTTTAAAAATACTAAATGAATAAATAAATATAACTTTACGTCAGCTCAATCAGCACACATGAAGCTTTCCTACTGCAGTTGCATTCGAGAACTGTTTTCAACTAAATGTATTTTTTTTTGTTGTTGTTTTTAAAGCTATCCAGTATCAGAAGAACTGGCAAATATAATTTATGGATGTAGAGCCAGCTCGGAGCTGGAGACGCACATGCTCTGCATGCCGCATGTATTAATAAAAGGCACAGGGCTTGACAGCTGTCTCTGCTCCTGCAGTGTAACCTTCTGTATTATACAGTATCCCGAGCTAATTATAGAATTGGCATGTTACCCTTCATGACAGACACTTACCATTACCAGCCAAGCCATGTATCACGCACTGCACCTTGAAAGCCGCGCAGTCCCCGCGGGCGCTTCTCACCCCACGGCACCATCGCCGCCTTCACGGCCGCTCCTGCTCCCTCCTCATCGGCGGGACATCTGCCACCTGCTGAAATGGAAACAGCAACAAAAGATTCAGAGATCATGGCATTTTTTTCTAAGGTTTCAATTAGAAAGGTGTAGGAATATTGCTTCTTAAATGCTACCGTTGTTTTTGCCTTATCCCTGCTTCTCCTCTTATCATGATCCTCCTGTGGGTCACCGTTTACCCTGAGTGATACCAGCCTTGCAGCTAAACGTGTCCTCTGCCCCGGCTCCACCTGCATTTTCTGCCTATGGAATGGGGAAAACTTTTGGATGCTGATACACTTGTGTCTCCCCCAAATACTCTGCAACTGCTCCATGGCACTCACAAAAAGCCGCCTGCCGGCAACATTTGCCCATCTATCTCCCTCAGGAGTGAACAGCTCCTCTGTATACGAGGACAAGCAAATATCGAAAGGGAGAAAAATGAACTGTTGCAAAAACAAAAACAAACAAACAAAAAACTGAACTGTGGGAAAAGAGGAAGACAGGGGTGAGGTGCCTTTAACTGAAAGGAGAGAGGGAGCTAAACCACAGACATCCACCATAACTAATAAGACACATGTCTCAGCACTCAGATCATCTTTCTTGGACGTGCTTTCCCCCCACCTTCATCTTTAGACAGGCCGGGATCATCCTCCGCATTTAGAAGGCACCTAGAGGGCTGCACTTGGAAAATCCCGGCTCATACTAAATATGCAGYGCTGCCACTTGCTTCTACTGCAAATGAAGGATGTTTCAGACCGGGAAACAGCCTTCTCAGGGAGCTATCCCAAGGAATCACGGGTCTTCGTGAAAGGCACTGCCAGCCTCTGGGCAGGCACTGAGCATCTGCTGCCCTCAAGGGCAACGGAGCTCCAAAGGTGATGGAAGAGAAGGAAATGAGTGAAGCCAAGTGACTAGGAAATTCACGGTAAACCTGGAGGAAGGGTTTTAGACTTCTAGGTGTTTTTTTTTTTTTTTTTTTTTTTTTTTTTTATAGATATAAAACCAAACCAAAATAGCTCCATGCCAGCATAAATACTTTAACATCTCCAGAGGGAAGAAAAAAAAAAAAAAAAAACTTTGAGCCCTTACATACAAACCAGCCAGGCCAGATCTTCAACTGGCACAAACTGTAAATCAGATTAGCTCTGTGTAGCTTGACAATTTACACAAGCTGCAGACCAAATGTGCTGGCATTGCCTTTCTGCTTAGAGAACGCTGCTCTGAAGTTGACCTTAGTGTGATGCTGCAAAACCTGAGTGAAAAGGGTCAAAGAAGCAAAAAAAACCCCTAAAAATCTGCAGTTTTGGTAGATTTTTCTTCTGTACTTGTCGTGAAACAGAGGCGCATTTCCCCAAGGGCAGCACTTTGCTTTCCTCGCTTTAGCTTTGCTTCCAAAGCTGCTCCGCACCTCCTGAGGGAAATGCSGCGGGTTTCGGCGGCGGCGGCGGCGCAGGCTCGGTGGGGCCAGGCGCGGGTGCCGCAGGCAGCACGCGAGGCCGCTGCGTGCTGTTTACTCGGCAGGGTTAGGGCACCTCGTGTACCTCCAGCTTCTCCTCCCTCCCCTCCACAAACCGAGTTCATTGGATTTTCCTGCGGGCAGGAGACCTTTGCAGCCAGCCACACTGAAGGAGGGAGGCCCTTGAAAACAGTGAGAAGGAAAGCCGTGTACAGCCTTCAAAACCAAATATCTAAAGAATATTCAAGACAAAATTGATTTTTCGCAGTAATGTCAAACAACAAATGCTGTGACATTTTTCTCAGTGCGGTTTAAAGCTCAGAAGATGCAGCTTTTCCTTCATGCCAGAGTGAATGCAAACGCCATGAAGGCTTTTACGGCAGGTCTAATTCCCATGGCTGAGACTATGTAGACCCCTGGGACACTGACCTTACGCTGGTGCACACTTCCCACAGAACTGCGCTTGAGAGAAGGAAAACATGGGGATGGATGTGGGCACAGGGCACTCTAAGTAGTTTTATAAAGGAAAAAATATTTACAAAAGCAACAGTGAAACTGAAGTTCCTTGGGAATAGTCTATCCAATCTGTTGATAATGTAGATGGAAATATCACCATAATAATAAGTATGCATGTTGGAAATCTGGATTTATGCTAGGATTTGGCATTTTGTATCCCTTAAAATACCTCAGTATAAATATAATAATACAGGTACGGCTGCAGGGACATTTATTTAATTTGAAGAACAAGATTTCTTTCTAATTGTTTGTTCTAAAAAATATTTTCCAATGTCATCACTACAATCATGGCAAGACTCTCAAAAGAAAAAATCCCAATAAATGTGAAAAACGTGGCAGAGAACAATTTACATCATCTCCAACAGAAAATATTAATACATTTCAAATCGATAAGCATATGAATTACACGGTCCCTTATAGTATGTTAATTTTCAAACCATTTTGCATTATTTCTAATGTTACAATATCCAGCGTAAAGAAAGTGACTCCTTTTTGTATTGAAGTGCAAAGTTAGAACAAAGTGTTTTATGGACATTCTTACCTTAGACGAACGTCAATTTAATCATGAAGAGCTGCAATGCAGTCCCGCTGGGATGGCACCTGTAAGCAAGGGTAGAAGGATCAGCTCCGTATGTCATTTGTTGAAAATCATAGTTTTAATTTTTCAAAAGATGATTTTTAGATAAAACGAGAGATGGCTGATTTCTAAATTACTGATAGGTGTGTTTTTCATCCTGTTCTTTCCAAAAAGGGCACATCACTGGACCAAGCTTAAATAATGACAAGATATATAAATTTGTTTATTCATCTGAAGTGTTTGTTGATCGGGTTAAAGCATCACTAGAGAGCAGTGCAGGCTTCCGGATTTCCTCTGGTGTGGATGTCAACCTCATATGGAGAAATCCCGAGAACGATGATGACCAGTTGATCAAAATTACGGTAATTAATGCCATCATTAAACATCAAACATTCTCAATTCTTTACACATGAATCTAATGGCTTAACTATGTAAACAGATAGTTCTTGAAGAACATGTTTTCAAAGGATGAGCCAAGTTTTATTCTTCCAGAATCTCATCAGCTACAAACAGCTTCCTCAATTAGCTGTCTCTAAGGAATGGCTTTTACAAAAATGTGCCTAACATCATAAGCCAGAACTTCAATCTATCTCCTACATTTTGCAATTGCTTCGTACAACTTCATAGCTTTAAAGAAATTTTGTGCATGGGACGGGACGGGGAGTGGGCAGTCTGAAGTTCTTGCTTGTTGTCTCTCACCTGAGCATTATGATATGTGCTAAATACGAACAGATTTTCATGGTTATCCTTAAGCTGATTATTTCCCTAGTGGTGGCTTATGGTTTCTTTAAAAAACATAAATAGATCTATTCCTATCAGGAAAAACTAAAGATCAGAACCATAAATCAAGAAATAAGTGACCTATTAGATTTAGTCTATCCAGATATTACCAGCCTGATATTAGACTGCTCTCCAAATGATTTTTTCTCTGCTTCTACTTTGCTAGATAAGAGATGTCAAAGTTGAAAATGTAAATGAACGCCCGGATACTAAAAGCATCTTCAAAGGAAAAAGCACAGAGAAGATCATGGGGAAAAACTATCTGGAAGCTTTACAGAAGCCCATCGTTCTTCAGTTAACTCGTGGAAAAGTAAGTCTTTTAAAACCCACACACATTCCCTGAGGAAGCCAGAGACAGATCCTTTCTTTTAGGCTTGGAGAACTTAACAATTAGCCGCTTACGTTCCTGAACACAGTGTAATTTTTCTTTCTAAAAAACAGTAGTTTGGGACTGATTGCAATGTACCTGTACAAGGGGCTTCTCCAGCCCCAGTCCCTTATGCTTTGCAACCACTAGGCAGTACCAAGTAGACAGCTAGCATATTGGCCCCAAATATACCTGTGTGTGCGTAGAGATATATGGAGATATGTATAGAAGTCTATGCACGTACACACACAGATGCTGTGCAAGGCTTTTGCTGTTGACTTCAGCCAGGCCAGGACTTTATCCAAGGCAGAAAAGGAAATACCATTTATTGTGCGGGTGACTCCACCGAGCCTGTCGAGGTCCGTGTTAATAACCTCAAACCGACGGCAGCGGCTCTAGCGCGCCTGCTCACCCACCGCTCAGGCTCGCTTATTTACCTGGGCGGCACCTGCCGTTTCGAGGGTTCCAAATCCACGGGCTGGATGCTCCAAGAGCTACGGCCTTCCGTGTTGCTCCTCTCTGTCAAAGGGTCTCCGAGAGCAGAGGAGAAGGCTCCGGGGCGAGCGCGCCTCGCTGTGCCCACGGCAGGGCGGGAGCCGGCGCTGCTCCTGCCCCCTCTCCGTGCCGCTTTGCCCCCTTGCTGGCCGTGGCCGAGGGCACCAGGCTGCGCCAGGCTCAGCCTGGGCAATGCCGCCCAGGTGAGGGGACACGGGCAGCGTGAAAGGAGGAAGGGTGAAGGTCACGCTCCCTTTTGCTCTTCTGCGGAGCCGAGGAGGGCTGTGACACCTTATCCCCACAGGGTCTTTACCTAGTGCCGTAAATAGGCACTGAGCACATACCCTGGCCGCCGGCTCAGCCGACTGAACTGCAGCTGCTCTCGGGCCCGCTCGGCAACTTGCAGACCGGGCCCTGTCGTCAGTTTTACACAACATAAAAAGAAATCAGACAGCACTGGCGCCTAGCTGCACATATCCCTAAAGGAGGCTTGAATTATCCCAAGAACATGGTCCAAATATGTCTGCTCCCAGTAAGCTGCAAACACAGTCTAAGGCTGAGATGTAGTATTAAGAAGTTGGGCTTCTGCCTGTGCAGTGGGTTCTGAGCGCTGCTCCTCTCCTTTCCCTGTGGTGTGGTACTTTCATCCCTGGCACCATGACCTCCCCGTCCAGGCTTGCCCTGAGATAACACACTGATAGTGCTCACAGTTCCTGAAAAAAGGGCACTGCTAAAGCACCTTGAATGCAAAGTGGAGGTGCAAAGTCTTTCGCTGCCAGAGGAGAGGCTCAAGCACAGCAGTCGTTCCACGTAGTTCAAAGGTTGTTATGTATGTGACACGTCACTTGAGTCATTCTAATGTGATTTAGCTATGATTCATTCCGAATCCATTTTTTTGGAGCCTGTGATTAAAGTGCAATAGATATGTGCATGAAGCAGGCTCGATGGGATGTAAAGCCAGAGTATTTCAATTTACATCTCAATAGGGAACTTTTCTGTGGGGGTTATGCAGAAAAAAATAGTCACCGGTTACATTATATTCATTTTCTGATTTTCCTTCTAAATTCTCTCTAATTAGCACTGAGGAAAGATGCTACAGAATGGAGCCTCTATTTAGGTGGTGCTGAAGTCTGCAACATCTTTGTGTTGTTAGTTATCAGCCAGACCCTGCAGCCTCTGGCRTCTGCTTAGATCAGGATAACAGGTCCAAAGTTCAGCTTCCCATCAGAAAAAGCAAAGGGAGTTTTTACAGAAGGCATCTTCACTTCTTCTTTCATGTTTCAACAAATTTAACGGGTCGGGATTTTTACATATTTGTTTTGTTCCTGCAGGTAAAAAACTTCTACTCGTATCAAAATGAACCTGTCATAGTTCAAAACCTCAAGAGAGGCCTGGCAAGCCTGTTCCAGGTGCAGCTGCACTCCGGCGCTGTCCGCGAGGTACGGTGCTATATCCAGCAAGACACTCTTATCAGAGAAACCCGAGGAGCCCAGGCTGCTCTGCCAGCCATGTCTGGGGCTCCTGGGGGCTTCAGAAGGAAGCGTAAGAGAAATAAGCCCCCTGAGCAGGCTTGAACTAGGGGAAATAAAGTCAGTCTTTTGAATACTTGGTGACAGAAGTCGTGTTGCTGAAGTTAACTTTAAAAAAATGGTGAAATCCGTTTGTTTTAAAATATCCTTATCCATTTAACAGTTTGGTAATAAACCAACTTACACCACAGCAGTGTAAAAGCACTGTGGTTGGAAACTGGTTGCTTAACCAGCAACCATTTAAATTATTAACATTGTTGTTATTTATTAATTTACTGTTAATTTTATTACTTTACTGTCTATTGTGTTCATTACTTAATATTTATTTTAATTATTTTAAATCAAATAATTTCCATGCAGACTTAGCAATGGTTTAGCTGAATGCATTTAAACTGTATTATACACTTAATTTTTTTACATCTGCTAACACAGGGAAAGTTAGAATTTTTTAAGCCGAATTCCTGAGTATAGTGCCACATGTCAGGTATTTACTATCTCTTTTTTATTAAAAAAGAAAAAAAAACACTGTTACTTTTCCATCATAGTCACCTAATGAAAAACACCTCTGCCTATCCAAAAGAGAAAGGTAGAAACACTGACATAAGGAAAAATTAAAGAGCAGCCCTCCTCACCTTCCAAGCTGGTAGATGAGCTCACACCGAAGCAGTGCAGCACCTCATGTACACGATGCCATCAGGGCAGAAAGTCTGCAGAGGGAGTTCCCAGGTCCGAGAGACACAGGAAACTGTCCAAAGTGGTGTAGCAGTCCTGAAGCTCTCTGTAGTTTCAGTTCCTGCAGGTCTCTCTTTGGGCAAAGAGAGAGGAAAATAAATAGGGAAAATACACCTGAGAACAAGTGTATAAGTCAGAAATGGGTGACACACAAGTACTAACCTTACTCTTTTTTTCCAAGGTGGATGTATCCGGGGAATGCAATGTTACTTACCAGGTTCGACAAAATCAAGTGACTAAAATTAAAGCTCTGGACTCCTGTGAAATAGAAAAGACAGGATTTACCAGCCCCAATCAGGTACCGTTTATTTAACAGAATAAAATCTGTTTTGCCTATTTTAATTATATCCTTATTAGCTATTATGCATTTTCTCCAAAGCTTTTTCCTGCATTACCGAAGACAAATTCTACCCATACATTCACCGTGCTATGAGTACAATCCTGCATCTTGCAGCACCCTTGGCCCAGCTGCCACCCAGTGCAGCCCACCAATTCACAGGCAGGCTGGAGAGGTGCCAAAGCCCTGGGGCTCCCCCTGCACAAACCTTCCCCTGCTCAGAGAAGTGCAGAGGTGGCACCATAGGGAGCTGTGAACAAACCAGCCTAACACACTGACTGCATTCCAAATGTTCACACTGGCTCCAAAGAATCCAACTTATTTACACACAAACCAGTCCAAACAGATCAAGCTGACTTGGTTTCCAGGCACACACAAGAACAAAGCTCAGCTACTAGACATTTCCCCAGAAAAGCTTCTCATCTTATTTTCAATAAGATTTTTTTTCAACTAAATGTAGTATCAGGCATGTTCTCAGCTGTGGTGTATTCTGTAACGTGCCCTGTGGCTTTTTGTAATGAATTTGAAACATGGTGCAGCAAAAGTGACCAGATTATCGTTGCAAAAGAAATTCACAAGAACTCAGGATAGCCCGGTTTGCAGGCATAGGCTGAGATGTTGTCACTCACATGCGCTCTTCTAATTTGGTTTTATTCCAATATGAGTTTTGCTCTGATTTGGAACTGTAGGATCTGTCTATTCCGTCATTTACTGATCAACCCTCCTTTTGGTTTATTTTTAAATTATTTTCAGATTTTAGATGTTGGCACGAAAGTCACATCTGCCACAATTTATGTGCTGGAAGATGGTTTCATCAAATCCATTAAGGCAGAAGAGAATTATGTTTTTTTTCTGAATTTCCGACGAAAAACAGATGCCAAAATAGTTTCAAAGTAAGTTGGGCAAATTGACTGTCATTGAGGGGAGCAGGATTAATGGTTCAACTCACGTTACACGGGTACCTGTAACTATCATAGTTTCATGGTTTAAGACTGTAAACTCTTAAGGAAGGATTTAGATCTATTTCATATCCATATGGCACCTACCCCAGCTTTGACTGAAGGCTCTACCATTCTGTAGATCATAACGGCATCCCTAAATAATGAAATGAAAATAACTGGAAGTGGTGAAAGCATTTTAAGCAATACATGACTCCTGTAGGCCCTCTGCTTCTGCGCCCTCTCCTTTAARAAAGGCTTCAGATAGATCTGCATTTCTAATATGTGAAAGTTCAGAGGTATARAAAGAAATATCCGATGGATGGAAAGACCAATGAAACCTGGGTCTGTGTCCAAAACACTGACAGGGAGAGGCAGGGAGGCAGCRGGTCTGTGTGTCTGGCTGCTCCCCRCTTCCTCTCCCTGTTACTTGGGCACTGCTTCCATGCGGCCGCRCTCCAACGGCATGTTGGTGTTTTCCCTTCCGTGCGCAGGCAGAGGCTGGAGCTGCAGACGGCGGGCGCGGGGCCCGCGCTGCTGGCGGCCAAGCACGCTGCAGCGGCCGTGCGCGCCCTCGACCCCGGCTACGCCGCGCTGCCGCTCGCCGCCGCCGCCGTCCGCGCCGAGCGCGCGCAGCGCCCCTCGGTGAGTACGCCCGGCGCCCGGCGCCCGCACTGCCAACGTCTGGCACGAGCCCCCGGCACCGCGGCGGGGCCGCCCTGGCACGGGCGTCCTAACAGCGTGCCCACACGTACCCACCTGCGTGCTCTCGCTGGATGGCACAGCGCAGGGCTGCTCCGGCCTCTAGGCGAGACAGCAGCCTTTCGTATGTTCTCCTCTCTGCCAACTGCGAGCTGGCCCGACTYTATCTTTCTGGGAAATGGAGTGGGAAATGACTATAAGGACGGACTGCCATCCTTATAGTCGTTTATGACAGATGGATGCCAAAGGAACCTTTCCTAGAGATTAAAGGCAATTAACCCAATCCCTACGCAGACTAAATATAATATGGAGGAAGTCTTTTATTCTAATGACTTTAGAGGTATTTTATAAATATAAAATGGGATTTTAGTATTCTTGACAAGCCCAATACTCTCTCTCTCCTGTGCTCCAAGAAATATTACCCTGATATTTTATATTTAAAACATTTAAAGATCACCAAAAGTTTAGTACTAAAAGTAGGCTGCACACCTACTTTTAAAGTGCTTCATCTTTTGCTTTGCTGATAATACATCTCATAAACACTAACATCATTTGCTACAGTGATTGTCAGCAAGTATTTTTAATGCTCTTACCACTGCAGAATGAATTGAGCAGTGAATTTAAAGACATTACTTTAAAGACTGTTCTCCATCATTTTTCAGTGAGCAAGCTTCTATGCAGCAAACGTAATGCCAAACCTCCAGAGAGAKCCCCTGGGAGCACAAATGCCTTGCTATGCTGGAACTCCCCATAGTTATTTGGAAGTACCACTACCCTGTAACAAATTAGCTTGCCTGGTGTCTGTGGAGCTGCAGAGAAAATAAAAAGAAAAGGTTGGGGAAAATGAAATAGAAATGAGGCTGCAAGGGGTGGGTGCTGCCCGCTTGCGCTGGGCGCGCTGTCGCTTGCAACTCAGCTCGTCCCGACAGTGGCAGAGAAATGCCCAGACCCAGCTAACACACATGGGTGTATTTCCAGAGCGCTGCCTGGGGACTGAGGCATGCCACCATAAACCTAAAGGAATGAGGAGAATGAACTCCTGCTTTCTCACTGTATTTTACAGTAACTGCTATGAAAAGATGGGGTCTATAAACAGAACACTGTATCCAAAGCAGCAACATAACATTTGGTACTTATATATCATGGTATACATTAATGCCATGCTGACATGGCATGCCCTGCAGTTTTGCATTTTCAAAACCTTTTACGACTTGTAACAGATCTTATCTTTACCTTTATGAATCTGCTGGAATAGCCATTACTCTCCCTATCTCACAGATAGAGGCATGAGCATCTGCGAGATTATAGCAAACATTTACATTTAAATTTATTCGTAGATGTCTGTGTTTAAACAGCATTACAAAGCATTCTCCTTTCAGAAGAGCTGTGCTCCTGGCTCCTACCGATATGGATGCTTGTTCCTTTGGAAATCAAGGAGATTTTTTGTTCTGCTTTGTCTCAGACAGCCAACTTTGGAACAATTTGGCTTGTATGTGCCTGGGGTCATGGCGTAAGTTAGGCTCTAGCTGACGAGAGAAGCTGCACCTCGGAGTTCCAGTATTTAACCCAGCGAGCAGCCCTTGCCCCGGGGTGTTCACTCCTTCACCTACTCCGTGCACGCAGCCAGTAGCACGCAGGCCCCTCTGCACCCCCCTGGCAGCAAAAGGGACAGGATGAAGGAGGTTGGAGATTCCTCGCTGGGCTGTCGTGCAACTTCAACAGGGGCATAGAAAGTGCCCCGTATGTTTATCCCCTTTCAGCTTATAATAGCCACGTTGACCTTGGTGCTAAGCTGTAATCACCAGCTGATATTAGCAGTTCCATCTGGGCCTCAGATCATGAGCTCCTCCCAGCTGGTTATTAATCCCTAGGGAATATCCTATGTCTCAATCAATGTTGCCTAATTACTGTTGGTTACAGTTGATGGAAGTTGCACTCTGTACTGCTGAGCGATACTTCAATTTGCCGGCAGGTTCAAGTGCTATTGCCTAATACAAAACCCGTGAAGGGGGGTGTATTTTAGTAAAGGTCAAACGGGTGTTAGGGATATTTCCCACTTAGGAAAACTGCAGTAAACAGTGCTGCAAAGAACAGCTGAGTTTTCACCACGGAATGTTCTCGATAATTCGAGATAACAAAGGCCAAGGCAAGCGAGAGAGGAAAGGTCAAAATACCTGCCCAGATTCTTGCAGGAGCGGAGCTGGAAGGACAAAGCCCTCTCAGGCCCCGCTTCCCAACGGTGTAACACAGGTTTCTAAATGCCGCCTAAGGGGAAAGTTTGCAAAGTGACTAGARGAAGGATTCAAAGCCTGCTGAAGAGAAGAGACTGTCTCGCACTCCCGCTCACTGCACACAGACGTGCCCAGCTCTTAGCACGGCCTCCAGCTTCTCCCAGAAGCACCAGTCAYGGTTGCACCCTTGTGACCCCATCTGCATTGGGCTGAGTCTGATTTTTGAAAACTGAAACCACTATCTGGGAGACTGATACCATGTGAATTATTTTTCAGCTTTCTGAACACTGGCAGAGCATCAAAAAACATTTGCATCCTGAAAACCTTYCCAAAGCTGAAGCAACGAGAMGCTTTTTGTCCCTCRTTCAGAACCTCAGGAAAGCTACAAAAGAGGAGATCCTGCAGATTCTTARAAGTGAAAACAAGGRACTTCYGTAAGTCACCATGAACAAACTTTCAAAATGTWTCARTTACCTAAAACAACAGARGGGCAGAACGCACGTAAACAGGTTCAGGCACGGTGGCTAGCTATGCAAAACCAGTCTTGAGTTTTGTGCAGGAAAAGTACATTTCCAGCAGAGACATCAACGCTTGCGGGGGTCTCTCTGCTATTTTGAAATGCTAGACAGGTTTTGCCAAGAAGAATAATAAATTCTGTCTCTTACCTGCACTTGTCAATGCTTCTTCCTTTCTATAGGCAGAACAGTCTTCTCTGTCTTGTCTAGCTCATTTCAATGATCTGTTCATTTCCACTTCTTTTCCACAGCCCACAGCTAGTGGATGCCGTAACATCGGCCCAGACTCCGGCGTCTCTGGAGGCCATGCTGGAGTTCCTAGACTTTATGGACATGAAAGGTGCTCTTCTGCAGGAGCGGTTCCTGTACGCCTGTGGATTTGCTTCTCACCCCAATGAAATGCTCCTGAAATCTTTAACTGTAAGTCAAAAGAGCAAAAAGAAATACAATAGAATCAGTTTTCTTCAGCCTCATCTATGTCAAGGAGGAAGGAAGGAGGAACACTATCATGGGGCACCCCACATTCCTTTCCTTTCCCCTTCCAGGGTTTCCTTTAACTGTCACAGTATATGACACCTAAGCATGTGGCCTAAAAGTAACAAAAATCCATAGTAAATAAGCTTTATGTATGAGTGGCTAAGTAAAATGTCACCAACACCTTCCTGGAAAGCAAACATTGTTCTGAGTGTTAACAGGCCAATTTWAAGAGCGAAAGCCTTATCAGAGTCCTGTCACCATTTAATATTCTTTCTTTTGAAATCAGCTCCAAAATGAATTGTGCTATTGGAGAAACTGATGGCAATGCAAGGTAAAAATGGCACTGAGCTCACCTGTAATGAAGGAGCAGTGCTGTGCATCACTGAGCACTGCCTTTGCACAGATGTGCACGCAGGAACTGAGGGCATTCAGCCCACTGCAAAATGTGGTTCATCGCTTTTAGACAGTGACTAACTGTTGCTTTYGAATGACAGACCAAGTTCCAAGGTGAGATTGCAAGTGAAGAAATCAGAGAAACTGTTGTCATTATCATGGGAGCACTCATCAGAAAGCTCTGTGACAGAAACGGCTGCAAACTTCCAGTAAGTATTTGCTTTYCACTGCTAGCCCCATTCTGATCTGGGACACGGGAATGAGCCACTTTGATGCTACTGGGAGACCATATGGGACACTGGTAGCATTTCCCTTCTGCTGTAAGGTAGCACCATATATAGCCAACGTTAAGGTTTAATCTGATCTCTCTCCTCMTTCTCGTGTATTTCTCCTGATTTGCCTTCCTTTAACACAACTTTTTCTCACTGCCCTGTCTGTCAGTAGAAACAGCATGTTTGCTCACTTGTCCAAAAGCTTGGCGTGTCCTCAGAGAAACACTAGAGGAGTCAGGATCTACGTAATGCTTGAAATCACCCTAGATGATCTCAGCTCTGCGAAGCCAAGCCCTTGATCCACACACTGAACCTTGCCCCAGATGTGCACAGAACAACCCAAAAGGGCTGATCTATCACCTTGATCCTAGATGGAGCGACGTGTTGAGGACATGCTGGGGATACAGGATGAGGATGATCAGATAACRCATTGCTGCTGCCCCTTGGATCTGGAGGCATTCCAGATTGCAGCACACTGTTGACAAAGCACCTGAGCAGCCCTTACAAATCCTTTTAGCCTCTCCCCATGAGTTGCCAGGCACTCTTAAAGTGGTATATTAAGAAACACCAAGGAAGATTTCCCTTGGTTTTTTTTTTTTTTTTTTTTTTTTTTTTCCAAATTGTGGCCACTGGCTCCTTGACTAGAACCAGTGAAGGCCCTAAATCAGAACAGGACTGAGTGATTTATCACTACTGAGTGATAAATCCAGGTGTCACTAGGAGTACTGGTTAAAGCTTAAAGGAAGCTGTCGATTTACAGCTCACAGATGGCACTTTTGCCAAGCCAGCACAACAATGCTGTAGACCAAAATGTGCTAGAAACCAGCCCTGCTCCTGCTTCCAGGGGACAATAATGTGGGTTTATGATCATCTTGTTAACATGCTCCTGATCTTCTTTAGGCTGTTGTGGAAGCCAAGAAGCTGATTCTAGGTAGGCTGGAGAGAGCCAAGAAAGGCGACAACGTGAAGCTGTACCTGCTGGCGCTGAAGAACGCGCGCCTGCCTGAGGCCATCCCACTGCTCCTCAAGTACGCCGAGTCGGAAGAAGGCGCCGTCAGCAGCATCGCTACCACCGCCCTGCAGAGATACGACGCCTCCTTCCTCACCAAAGAGGTCAGCAAATACACTGCCCGGGAAAAGAAGGGCAAGAGGGCATATTAAAAGTCAAATGGGAAATGAGCAAAGCTCCTTTGTCACCCCTCACTTTTTACATGTGCCCTGTGCAGTGTTCTGTCACTACAACTTCATTTGTAACAAAGATGCATCACGAGCCTCTCGCCTTTGAGGGACATGGGGTTGCCACAGGAAGTACCCAGTAAGAGAAAACTGCAAGATTAAGGATACCCCTCCCCTGAAAAGTCCAGGAACTCTCTCCCATGATCTTACCACCACACAGTGTTTCAATCTCCTGGTTGAATCTCATTTATTTACAGTCYCACTGTCAAAAACAGGCTGTATGTGGGTTGTGGTTGAGGGAAAGGAAAAGATGCTGCACTGGCCCATGCCGTGGCTGCCCTACACATGTCTAACAAATTCCACAAGGACCACGAAAAACTGTGTGCTAAAAATACATCCTCATACTTGAGCAATAGCTAGGGACCCTGCTTAGGCTAACAAAAATGAGGTTCTAAGCTGGACTTTGCCGAGCCATCTACGTGAGCACTGAATATATGGCCTGTTTCCTATGACCTGTTTCCTGACCAGGTGAAGAAAACAATGAACAGGATCTACCACCAGAGTCGCAGAGTCCACGAGAAGACAGTGCGAACTACTGCAGCTGCTGTCATCTTAAACAGTGACCCATCCTACATGGAAGTGAAAAACATCCTGCTGTCCATCGGCGAACTGCCTCTGGAGATGAACAAGTACATGCTCTCCATCATTCAGGATATAATTCACTTTGAAATGCCTGCAAGGTACATTAAGTTCAGTGTAAATACAGTCTGTTCTCATTGCTTTGAGTATTAATGCAGTACCAGGGAAACTCACAGGGTGCAAAGTTTCCAAATAGTTACTACCGGAAAATCTAAGGAGAGGACAAGAGGATGGATGACAAACCTTTGTGCCACTTTTGGGAACTGGTATTTTAGAACAAATCCATACATTTCAGTGACATTATTTTAACAGTTGATRCAGAGGAGAATTAGGTACCTAACTACCACTCCTCTTAGGTGTCTAGCTGTCTTTAAAGCATGAGGAAATTTCTTTGCTTGCTTTTAATTCTCACTCTTCAATGGGGCCCTTGCTTTATATTTTCCAAGAATAGTGAACAAGAAAAAAAAATAACACCATAATACTAGAATAGAAGCAAGAAAATACCTGTCCTTCTGACCAACATTAATTTTCAAGCAAGACCTATATTTGCTTTCCTTTCTATGTGTGAGTAGCTGAAGGGAGTAGCTGAAATTGGAGAAGACATTCTGGGAGGGGGCAGCTTCAGGAGGCACAAACTTAACTCCTTTAATGGAAAAATGTTTTTCAAAGGGCCTCTCTCCTGCTGGGAAATTCACCCCCTCTCAAATCTGATGTTTCTACACAACAGCAATGTATTTGCTATCTTAGCGTTTGTTTTTAATACTTCAGCAAAATGGTTCGTAAAGTCCTGAAGGACATGCGTGCTCACAACTACGAACGCTTCGCCAGGACGGGATCCTCCTCTGCCTACTCTGGCTACATGACACGTATGTAACCAGGAAACTGCCCTTTAGCCCTCTTCACACTCCTGAACCTTTGGTTAATTCACTAGTTTGGTCACAGGTACCTTCTTTCTTTTTTAATTAAGGTGGTCCTGATATATCATCCACATATGGCCTTGACATCCTTTATTCCGGCTCTGGCATTTTAAGGAGAAGTAACCTGAACATCCATGTTTTCAACAGAAACGCTCAACTTCATGCCAGCCAGGTAACTGCCAAGTCCTACACAAAAACTAAGCTTGGACGGGGACCTCCTTTTACAGCCTCTAAAGTAAACTCAACTGATGCCAAAAAAAAAAAAAAAGGATTGATGCACAGGGCACAAAACAGGCCAACAACCAGAAAAACAAAACAAAACAGCACAAAAGGAGGGACATCCATGCCTTAACATATCCAAGTCCTGTTTCTGGTTAAGCTTATGTTATACCGTTTACCTGATGTATTAAATAAAAGCCTCAGAAGTTTATAAAATCAAGCTGTTTCAGGTATAATGCAGACCAGAAATATAAGGATTAGCTCAAACCTAAAATTCAGAGAGGTTTATGTGACAAGTCTGTTATGACCTCTTAATTGTCAAGTTGGAAAGCAACTTCAGTATTAGAACCCCACTTAACTTCTGCAAAATAAATGTGTACAGTGGGGCATCTTTGGTTTTCCTTCTGAATGTCTATGCAAAATAGTCACATGAATAAAGRATAATAGACTTGAAAGGAAAGGACTTCAGTTTGTAATTTGCAGGTCGGCAAATTCTGCCTACATCTAAGGGGAAAAGTTGCTGTGAAATGATTTTATTTTCCATTTTTCTAGCTGCTCTAATTCCCTTAAGCCTTAATCAAATACTTTTAGTCTCATACAATATATACACACACGCACACACACACATATATATACACACATATATATGTGTGTGTACATATATATATGTGTGTGTACATATATATATGTATATTTTTAGAAATGTTTAGAGTGGCTAGTAGCCTGGATCAGGTAGGGCTTTTTCACTGATTTTGTGTCACCGTTGCCTCTCAGGTGGTGATTGAAGCGCAAGGCCTGGAGACAATAATAGCTGCGACTCCCGACGAAGGCGAGGAAAACCTGGACTCCTTTGCCGGCATGTCGGCCATTCTGTTTGACGTGCAGCTCAGGCCAGTTACGTTTTTCCAAGGCTATGGTGATTTAATGTCTAAAATGCTCTCAGCAACTGGAGACCCCATTAACGTGGTGAAAGGACTCATCCTCCTGACAGATTACTCACAGGTACTGATGGCGTGACTTTTACTTCTTTTTTTTTGCTGTCTTTTAAACCTATATGCACCCTCCCTCCACACTGTTACAGTAGGGCAGCTCATCTTTCCTCTTTCCAGGCCTGATCAATGTTCCAGAGGCTTTCCTTAACTTTGGGAGCAATAGAAAAGCCATAAATAGGAAACAAGAGAACGAAATCAGGCTAAAACGGCTCAGAGGGGATATGATTAATATGTATAAGTTCAGGAAGGGAGAATGCAGGGAGGAAGGGGACAGGCTGTTCTCACTGGTGGCCAGCGATAGGACGAGGGGTAATGGCCACAAACTGAAGCATAAGAAGTTCCGTCTCCAGGTGAGGAGCAACTTCTTTACTGTGAGGGTRACAGAGCAGTGGAACAGGCTGCCCAGGGAGGTTGTGGAGTCTCCTACTCTGGAGGTCTTCAAAACCCGCCTGGATGCCACCCTGTGCCACAYGCTSTAGGTGTGCCTGCTTGAGCAGGAAGGTTGGACTAGATGATCTGTAGAGGTCCCTTCCAACCTTAAATATTCTGAAATATTCTGAAATATTCTAAAAGAAATCTAGGACAGAGGCATGAGCTAACATCATTCTAGAAAACAAAGCAACTCTGAAGAATAAAGTCAAATCAGACTAGGTTTCCCACTGAAAACTTCTATTCCTATACTTAAATACAGGCTCATATACCAATATAACTAAAAGCATAATACAGTATCAGAGGACTGAAGAGCTAGAGACCTTTCCCAGAGCACAGAGCCATTACTTGATACTTTGCTTCTGCTCAATCCCCTCAGCATCATCAGGGCCAATATTCAAAGAACTGCTTGACTTACAGACAGGAGATATTTTCACATGCAAAATTGCTGAAAATTGCCTTCCCATGTAGTGCAAACAAAAGCTCACTCCAGCAACAGTTTATTTCTCACACACATATTTGGGAAAAAGCTTTGCCAGGACCTACTTAATAAAGAGAGTGGTGAGACGAGAAAGCTGATAGTGTCCTCCCGCCCCAGCACACAGGCACGGCGTTCGCAGACCCAGCTATTTCCAGCTGCTGGGCACGCACCAAGCTCCATAAATACTCTGGCCGAATCAGCTGGCCGGGCACCCCGTGAGCTCTGCCAGGCAGCAGATTCCCAGCTCCCCACCTTTGCAGAGCCTGATACAGGTCCAGAGCACACCAGTGCCACGCTCAACAGCATGAGGGGGTATCACTTTCGGCCAGGCTTTCTGCAAGACCTGGCAGCACAGAGATTAAATGGGTCCCACTCTGCTTTCCCTCTCGGGTCACCACTAGCACATTTGCTGCCCGAGTTCTCTGGAAACAAAGCAGCGGACACGTATCTGCTGCTCCGGACAAAACCAGGTCTGCAACAACATCAGAATGGTTTGGGCTCTTCCACATAATCCAGTTAAGCATCATTAGAAGTCTAAGGCCTTGACCTGTGATTACAACAATACTAGGAAACACTGTTAGACTAGAAATGTGGGGAGTGGCTCTGGAGCTGAAGAAAACCTGTGCAGGAGAGCCAAAATCCAGCATCTTGCCAAGCTGAGGGCTCCCTGCACTCTGCCTGGCCAGCATGCAGAAGGCTTGCTCAGTACATAAATTCCTTTACAAATTCATACTGTAGATAACCCAGACAAACATGGTTCTCTTCTCTTTCAAAGGAAAAAAAAGAACTATGGATACAAAACTGTGTTCATTCCTCTACAGTGCAATTTTGATAACCAAAACTGTGTGTGCCATAGCTGAGTGCACTGTGAATCCAGAACAGGCAAAAAGCCATGTAAAAGATGCATACGGTGCACTTGAGATCAAATACTAAAAGGATGAGTTTGAGGCCAAACTTGAACTTTAAAATGAGGCAGCTCAATATTCAGAAAGAGAGAATCTCTGGAATATTTGGTTTGTAATTATTCTAGTAGAACAGGCTGATTTTGAGAAAAGTCATTTTAAATTATGTTTTAAAAGTTTTGCTTCCCTATTGATTTTTATAAGGAAAACTACATAGAAAGAGCAAAACTGAATTATACTGTCATCAAAGCTACCAGTTAAAAATGCCTGGAGAGCAGCTTCATTAACTTGGCACCTGCAGGTGTCACAACGGGCACATCTCAGAGAGGTGACTGCCAATTTCATAGAATGCCGAAGGTTGGAAGGGACCTCAGAGGTCATCGAGTCCAACCCCCCTGCTCACGCAGGGTCACCTAGAGCACGTGGCACAGGGCTGCATCCAAGCGGGTTTTAAAGATCTCCAAGGAAGGAGACTCCACAACCTCTCTGGGCAGCCTGTTCCAGTGCTTTGTCACCCTCACAGTGAAGAAATGCTTCCTTAAGTTCCTGTGGAACTTCCGATGCTTCAGTTTGAAGCCATTTCCTCTAGTCCTATTTCATAGTATCCCCTCTATGTTCCTGCCTGCTAATTGCAACATCTTCTCTCATGTAACTCCACATCTGAAAKCCCCAGAGTGCATTTTACAGCCACTGCTGCCTCTCACAGTGCTGCTTCAGCACTAAGGATAACAGTCGGGAAAGCGCAACTCCTCTTCTAAAATAAACAGCTCCTATAACACTGTTTTTGAAACTCCTAAATCATCGGTATTAAAGTTCAGGAGTGTTAATATTTCTTCTGGGCAATACACCTGTCAGAAGCATAGAGAAATTAAATACTTATTAATAGGTCAGAGAACCCAGCTGAAAGCCAGATGGCCCTGGAGGAGAGCCAGATCTAAGTGCCCTCTGCAGCAGTCTGCCTGTTACACTACAGTAGCGCGACTAGTGCCACACAGAAAGAAACTTCTGTTTCTTTAACTGAAACACGCCACATTTCAGTGTTTTGAACAGTAACAAGCTACAGATCCTGATCTTTCAGATCCCACTTTCCATTGCAAATGCCACACAAAGCTTAAAATAGGAAGGGAAAGGAAAATCCTACGCCTGAGAAGGCCGGGTCCCTGTGATTTACACCTCCCATCAACCTGGACTGGATTTGCACACAAGTTGAAGGACAGGATTCAGCTCTAAATAAGGAAAGAGATGAGCTGGTAAAACACAAGGCAAGTGCTCGCTGGCTGCTCTGCTGGTTTCACTGACAAATGTGACTTATTGCTAAGCAGTCTTTTAAACTTTAAATAGTGCAGCTCCTGCACACCAATCCTATTCTGATATTCTTAGGTGCAAACTGACAATACAGGTAAAAATATCTGCTCCTCTGGTTCCAAGTCAAAATAGATATTGCTCCCTACTCACCCATTAGCAATTACTGACCAACCCAGTCCCAATTACAAGTAAAGTAAAACAAAGTCTCCACATCTAAATAGACCACTGAGGATTTCCTAACTATTTTAGAAAGTAATCTTTGCCCCATTGCAGTCAACAGAAAACTSTCTTTGATTCGGAAGGAGCACGAACACAAGCTATATGTTTTACTTGGATAAACACAATATGTCCCTGCTTCCAGGGACGTGCTGGACTCATAACCTAGAGCCAGCCCACTGCATTCTCAGGTTAAACCTCAAGCCCACTTCAGCAGCAACTGACTGCCAACTTGGCTCTCCTGAAGAGACCATTTCAGACCTTAAAAGGTGAAGTAACCATATACAGTCACCACAATTCCCCCACTCTCTGGCCGCAGCAGAAGACTTTAAGGCTCTGAATAAGCTCTGAAAGGCTCCTCCCCAAATGTTACCTCCTGCTRACTGACTTGAAAGACAGCCTGTGCCTGCTTGCTTCTTTCCTAGAACAGCATGAGAGGGCAGCAGCATGAGGGCAACATGGGGCTACTAACAGGCAGAGATTTTTCCCTATAGAAGAAAGAGGAGGGTAATCAATTTTTCACACATTCTGCAGACACCTGCAGCATTACAGGTGCTGAGGTCACCACAGGTTCAGAGGAGCCTYGGTGGGAGGGAGAAAACCATCTGGAAGATAGAAAAAAAGTGTCCTGGTATGCAAGAGACATGGTTAAAATGAACTTTTCCAAAGTAACGTTCCAAAGTAAGTTTTTTAAAAACAGTGAATTTCCTAGTTCAAAAGGAAGCAGGACAACTATAGAAAGTGAGTTAGATCGCCAAACTGCGTGAACTTTAAAATCTTGGCTGACTGTGAGAACTTAAAAGTAATGAACTGCTGTGATCTTGAGCTATTATCACTTCCAAAACGGACTCCATGTATTGCATGTGCAGCCCAGCTGCAGAGGTCTCAAGAAGCCCTAAACGTGATGGCCGCTGGTGGAAGGTGCATGAAATACAAATTACCAACATGCTATAGCTCCAAAATGCAGCTTAATCTGACCTAGGTGGAATGTCACCGCTGTCCACAAGACTTGTGTGGGAGCTCCTCGAGAGCAAGGGTATGACATCCCTCACAGGGCACTTGGCTAAAATGAACTTGGCGGATAGGGTAGAAGAGCAGCACCTCACTTTAGCCTCAAGCCATCTCCTCAGGAGAAAACTGCATTTTAGTGGTGCACCCTTCCATATTCCTTTTTGTTACAGCAGGTATGATGAGATGGTCTGAAGGGACGTTAGGAAATCAACTTGTTTCSCTGTCCTTTACCAGTGCACTACCTGTGCCTTCTGTTGGTTGCAGGTCATTCAGCTGCAGTCTGGGCTGAGGGCGAGCGCGGAGTTCCAAGGGGGCCTCTCCATCGACATCTCAGGAGGAATGGAGTTCAGCCTGTGGTACAGGGAATCCAAAACCAACGTTAAGAACCGGTGAGGTACCCRCAGCACATGCTACAGTTTTAGAGAGTTCAGGTTCCCAAGCCCAGGTGGATCCACTTCAACAACTAAACATAATAATTCAACTGCAAGATCATTTAAGACCTTTAAATACATGTGAGAACATCAGCAGTTTTCCTTTCCACATGGTATTACAAGTTCCCACTGATCCCATCTGGGTTTATGCACCTTTACCTAAAAAAAAAMCAGACTCCTTTGAGGGCAGTTTTTATCTGTGGATGCTGAGACTACTTGTAGCTTTAAATAGCTTAACTGTACTGTTTGCAGCTTGATATATTTTAATTGTAATTTCTGAATTTACTTGCAGGGGGGCCATGTTCACTGCTGGTAACATTGAGGTGGATTCCTYGTTTGTAAAGGCTGGTATGGAAACCTCTTTAGAGATAGAAACAACACTGGACTTCATCTCTACAGTGCAGTTTTCACAGTACCCATTTCTAGTGTGCATGCAGATGGACAGAGTTGAATCTCCATTCAGGTAAGAGATGGAGAAAAGACCTTAGGAAAGACCACTCTGCCATGCTCTGCACTTGCACTTCTGTCAGATTTTCTCATCTGGTTTTACAACTGACCCAAATTGCAGGATTCTCCTCCCTAATGTACAATCAGTGCTGAAGGGGAAGAGAAGTTCTGCACCACAGTGCAGAACACAGCACTGTGTTACAGCACGGGGCGAAGAGCTGCACAGCCACAAACTAGCTGAGCTAGAATGATTTCTTCATGATCTGCTATGTACTAGTGTTGAGAAAAGTACCTGCCATGCTGTGTGTTTGCTGCAACTGGGATATCATGTCACATTTTATCGAGGCATCAACTCCCTGAAATCTAAGCAAATAGACTACAAGTAAACGATGTTTTTCAATCACTAAAGAACAGTAATTGCACTGCCGTGTGAGAAGTCTGGCTAACCTCATAATCCCTATTGACTAAGACCTGAGGATGTAACATTTGAAGTGCCAGGTTTCYACTCAGTCCTTTTTGATCCAAAAATGCTAAGCCTGAGAAGATTTAAGGAACCAAAGGGAAACTAAGGAAATTCTAAGAAAAAAGTATCTGTTACTCTGCAGACATYAAAACATGTTGGGATTTATACCTGCACATTAGGTAACCTAATATGTATGTGTTTTATCTCTATACTCACCTATGGTGTAGAGATTTTGCATCAATTTGCTAAAATGGGGTAACCACGTTGTATCTTTACAGGCGCTACGTGACTAAATACGAAAGCCTGCCATCTGGCAGGCGGTACACAGCCAGGAAAGCCAAGGTGGAGCTGCTCGCAGGCTCCGAGTACCCTCTCCACCAAGAAAACTCCAACATGTGCAGGAAGGTTTTCAGCACCGAGACTGATTCCTCYTCCAGCAACTGGTTTTGAAACGAGCTCTCACTTTGCTGAATCCATAGGCTTGTATGTACCATGCTAACTTGGAGCTTGATCTTGCTCTRCTGCAGTTAATGGGAAATTTGCCGTTGATTTCAACAGGCCGGGATCAAACTCTTAGTGCGTGCACACTGTTTACATATTTACCTATATTTAAGACTTTTGTAAAAAAAAAAAAAAAAAAAGCTAAAGTGAACAAAGACCAATCTGGTAGCATTACATGCACTCCCCCAAGGGTGGTGCTAGTTCTTTATTTTTACTTTTTCCTTTTTCCTTTTTTTTTTTTTTTCCTTGGTGCCAAAAGTAAAAATAAGCCTTTTTTTGTTTGTTTGTTTTCTTAGGCAAGAGAATACAGACGTCCACACTTTGGACATGCAGTGAGAACAATTATGATGTATAAAGAATGATTATTTATGAGTATATTTGAAGGCATTTAAGTGTTTTAGGCCCATGACCAATCCTCACTCAAATACAAATTAAAATCTAAATGTGACTGTGAATTCCTGCTTACTCAGTATTGCCTGTTTACAAAAAAAAAAAAAAAAAAAGGGATTTTTACCTTTTTTAAACACTCAGAGCTTGATTGTTATTATTATTTATCTATTTTTTTTTTAATATTAACTGCTTTAGTTACTCACATTTGATTAGAAACGGAGGGTAACATTTCTACTTAGCACTTGTGGGTACTTACGGTTGCCTGAATCCTGTTCCCGTTGAAACCAATGGCAGGATCTCTGTGGCTATCGCCAGGAGCAGAGTTCAGCCAGTGCTGCCTGCTCTCCAGTGGTGTCTCCGGCAAATCCAAGTCACTGCGTGTAATCAGGCAAGTCTATTTCAAAACACTGCCCACTACGGCAATTCTGAACTACCACGAACGTAAAGGTCCTAAAAGAAACTATTTGAAATGCACTGTCCCCTGTGCAGGGAGAAAGCGTTTTCTCCTAGCTAAGGTAGGCTCATGCTTCAATGGAAACAAGTGATCCTTACTCATACAATCATCCAATTACAATTAATTTTATACGTACCTTATAAAAAGTGAACAGGAACTGTGGGAAAAAAAATAAATGCAACATCTTTACAACAGCATCACAAATTAGGAAAAAAAATATATCTCTTTGCAACTCATCGCATCTCTCACATGATCCTGCGATTCAGTTTTTACAGGACAGTGTGTGCGAGTACTTGTCAAAGTAAAAGCCAGGAGTAATTGCTTTACAAAAATAATAAAATCAGGCAGGAAAAAACAAACAAACAAACAAACAACTTGTAGATTGTCATGAAAAAATTAAGAATAAAAACAAAAAAATCCAAATACTTTCATGTTGCAGAAAGTGCCAAGTCGGCAGAAATCAAACTATCAACAGGATGAAACAGTCTGCTTGTTGTCTTCCTGAGAACGGTGACACACTTCTAGTCGCAACATAAGAAATAAAACAGGCAAAGACCTAGTACGAAAAACTTACTTAGTTCTCAGTCTTATTCTTACGTCTGTTACCTTCTGGGTTGGGACAGCCCCTTGGGCGGAGGCGCAGTACTGGCACAGGGAGCAGGAAGCAAACAATTCCTGCCTGCTGGAACCAAGGAGGTTGGACTCCTGCTTGTTTTAAGCTCCCCCTCCCCGGTAAGGAGGCACCTGCAGGGGATGTGCAGGTGTCAGGCGAGATGAGAGGCGCTCKGGAGGGCTCTGCTCCGTCCCTCTGCCCACAGCAGCGGTGCCACCTGTGTGCCCACCCTCCGTGCCCACAGCAACTCAGGCCTAAGTGGTTCCAACACTGACAGCAGTGACAGTACCCCACAAAATAACYGTGCCAGCACTGCTAGCAAGCCACGTCCTGATCTTCAGTGGTCTTAAACTCTCTCTTCCATTTCTCTACTGAAAATTTTATGCAACATTCTAACCCTAAACTTCCCTTCTCCAAGGATCAGCTTCTCCTTCCTCCCTTCCAGACCTCTCCTCCTCTTCTTCCGATGAGACTTCCACAAAGCTGTCTCTTCCCCTCAACAGCCACGCTCAAAGCCTGTGCCCTCCCATTCCATAGATGGTTTGATACTTGTACTACTGCATTAGTAACACAAACTGCTAAAGGACAAGCTTATTAAAAAAATTATTACTATTTGCATCATATRAAAAAAATCAAACATAAATACTTACAGTTTAAATACATAAGAAGGACAAATGGTGGAACAAAAGAAGAGCCATCGTCAATACCTTATAGGCAGAGATTTAAGGTACCAGGAGGTTAGGACATCAGCCCCCTACACAATTTCCTTAGGCCATCTACCAGACTYACCATGATTTCTCACCCACCGTCAAAAAACAAAACAGAAATGCAGAAAGTTTATGCCAGGCCTCTGATTCACGAGACTTGTCTCATATCACAGCTCGCACTGCAAGGATGCCCTCTTCTCCCTCCCTTGCCCTCTTCATTTAGCCAACCTAAACACCGAGAATCTTYTCAACACCTGCCTGTAAAATGGGGCCCTTTGGCACATTTCCTGATTACCAAAGATCATCTACTTACTGCTGCCAGCTATTTGGGCAAGGACACCACATGTGCTTCTCTTTCATGTGAACATGCACATATTTGCTTAACATAAATAAGTCAGTCTCCTGGAAATCCTCACCTGTGGGGGTTTTTTTTGTTTTTTTTTTTTTTTACTCATCAAGCACTGGCACAGCTCATTGAGGAACATCATCTCGCCACGTGCACTATGGAAAATAGGTCCTCCAGAATGGGACAAGAGGCCTTCAGGGCAATTTTTAGCCTTGCACAACTTGGACAGCATCCCTTGCAATTAAATGAAACCAAGCCTCTGAGGCCAAAGTTACTCCTGCAGAAGTGATAAATGTCCCCCTGGATAGCTCAGAGGACGGCAGCGACACACTCGCTCCTGAAGCTATCTGACCCTAACAGCTGGACATCATGGGAATTCCAACAGGGTTTTAGTTCAACAGCTGGGGAGTGGAAGGTGATGACTTACTTACACGGGCTCCATAGCTACGGGAACAACAGAATGGACAGTCTTCTAAAAATAAGGTGAAACTGATACATGGCTTGATCCTGCATCTGAAGTGAAAACACATCAGGGTTACAACCAGAGCACTGTCAATGCTTATCAAATCATTTGGGGTTAATGACAAATATATAATATGAATTTCAATAATATATGCATATTTTAAAATAATCAGCAATAGTAGCAATGTAGTATCTCATACAGAAGATGTAGAGAAAAAAGATCTTAATCTATACTAACAGAAGCCACAGAAACATCAACATAATAAATATGGTTTGTGCTGAATGTTCTGCTGCTCCAGGCAAAACTCAAGCCAAAGTTTGCTCCAGATGAGGCCTTTTTCCCCACTCTGGGTGGATCCCTAACACATTGCCCTAGTGTGGATTCTCCACTGCTGCCCATTTTACAAGTCTCTGCTTCAAATAAAGCATCTTGCATTTTATGGAGGGAAATCATATTCCTTTGAAAATACAAAAACCACCTGGGCGTATTTGCTCAAACAGCTCAGGAACGGTAGCTTTTTTACACTGCCGTTCTTGGCTAGCTTGTCATTTTAAAAGGCCCATGGAAGCTTTTAAAATTTGAAATTGGCCATCCTATTTTGAAAGGGATTTTTAGCCATCTTAAAGTCCTCTAATGGGATTTCATGGACTTCTTAAGTCCTAACCTTAAAAGCTGTTAAGCTACGTTTCAATAACACTGTATTCGTGTTAACAGCAACATGTTAAATGGAGAAATACAGGTCCTAMGATGTTGTTCAGGTTTGGACTTATGTCCTTAATAAGTATTAAGAATTAATTAACAAATATTGGAACTTTTTTTTTAAACATCTGGGCATAAACAACTGCTGCTGAATGCAGCAGTGCTGTTATTTCCTACTCATTCCTACCAATAACGGCTACAAAATAGACTTGTAATCTCAGATACAGTGAATGTATGAGATCAGTTTTATCTCGGAACTGCCCTCAGTCAGGCTGACAGCAGCCTTCTCTTTCATTTAATAACGCGAATGGGATCATAATTTGAAGTGCTTTATTTTTATTAAAATGATGACTAATGAAAGGTTACAACTTGCAAAATCCTTACCCAGATGGACAGCAATAACATGTTACTCATAAAGACAATACTAACTTATCAAGAGCACCTGACTGAGCATTCGGTGTGACSCCAAGATCACACACACAAGGAACCCAAGTGCTCAACTATGGAGACCTCTCAGGAGCTGCAAACACATCCAATCAATGTGGCAATGTCCACGTGCCTTGGAACACTTCACACACTGTCAAACATAGTAAAACACAGAAATCCCCAACGCGCGAGGTTTTTAAGTACATTTTCAACTTGAAACACGGGCTTTGTCGAGGTGAGGTCGATGGAAAGCAGGGCAGTTACACAAGGCACCTGGCAGGCTGCGTTTTGCAGCACCAGGTTCTGAATTGGATAATGAGCTGACAGAAACTACAAATATAAAAAAATCTGAATTTGGTAGCTAGATACAGGCACGGTTTGTCTAGCAAACATTTCTCAGCAGTGACCACCTCAGATAACAACAATTATAATATAGAATTTCCCACCAAAACATACCATATTGTCTGTTTTTATCCTGGGTAGCTTGCTTACTACTGGCAGCAGGGAGTTATCTACTAATTCTGCATTCTTCCCACTTCTCCTGAAATTAATAGATAATAATAATAATAATGGATTTCTATCTTTTAGTCTCGTTATTCTTATCAGCRATGTTTTAAAGATTATTTATAGAGCTTAAATCCTACTAATCCTTTAAAAACCTTGAAACATTTCACTTGACTCTTCAGATTAATAGAAGGCATTGTGAGAAGCTCTTCCATTTTTGTTGCTSAGGATTCCTGCGGGGCAAGGCAGGCTGCTCGAGACGGGGCTCCTTAGGGAAAAGTCAGAGTGCACTTCTCAGCACAAGTCTAATTTTGACCTCTCTTAAGAAAAGGTTTCAGTCTAAAGGAGATAATGACTGCGAGACGCTCACGGACAGTTCCACGGACGTGGAAGCTCATTGGAGGTTTCCACTGAAATCACTCTCCAGGCTCCAGTATCTTTTCCTCAAGGAATGTATCAGAGCAGTTACCAAATTTCCCTGTTGATAACACAGCTACATTTGCAACTTATGATTTCCCTCTAGGGTGAGACCCTTCTA